ACAGTATGCATGCATTAAAATTACGTAAATAAGCTTATTTACAATCTTTATTTTATTTATCTAAATTTCCTGTTTGGGCGTGATAATCTAGGAGGGAAAAAGATGACAGCAAAATGCAGTGGCAGATATACAGAAAGTTAAGTGGTCTACTGCATGCCCTTCAAAAATCTCTGTTGGATTCTGTAAAGTTGTGTCATATTGTCATATTATATAATCTTATTTCAACAAAATTGAAATTCGACAACCTTCTGTCACCGTCGGTAGAAAAATACTGGAATTTAAAAATTTACAGCCATTTATTTTTTGAAAATTGAATCCAACAGTTAAAGAAGAAGAGGTTCGGGAAATTAAGGTTTAAGGCATGTGTTATTACAAATATGCGTATTAATACCCTAAAACTAATGGCCCATGAAAAAAAAACATACTTTTTCAGCTTTTCTACAGAGGAGACAACATCAGAGAGCACTGTTTCATCGATTCTTTAAACATTTTTCACAAGAAAAAGGGAGAAATTCAAGAATAAGTTGTCGTTGCGTTGTATAAATGAGTAATGACGAAACTCATAAGTTAATAATATATATAGCCCCCATTTGTTTTCCATTCTTTTCCCATTAAAATAAAAAATATGACCGTTATCCATTATATAAAGACACCAAATTTGAATTTCTATTTCTTGTGTAGAGCCCATAATAACTATATTTTTCATTCTCATTCTTACGAAAATGGGTACCAAACGGGCCAATAGTGTGTTTATATTATGTATTTTATCTAACAAAAATTTTTTAAAAAAAATATTTATTTTATTGTCAGAATAAGTAACTTACGGGTGGAGAAAATGCTCGAAAAGCCAAGCTCTCAAAACGTTGATAGATTTTTCAGGCAAGCCTCTTTGGGGTCTCCAAGTGTCTTGTTCCAACATTCCCATTTGATGAAATGCCCTTTGTTGTCTTAAACTTTGTTCGAGAATTCTTAGTCTTGGGGTCTCCCCTTTTGTCACCCCTAATGTGCTTGCATCTTTTTCTCCTAAAAGCTCAGAGCTGTGCTTAAGTTGTGCAATAATCGCGTCCTTTAGGCATCGAAAGTGTCGAGACATGGCCTTTTGGGCTAGACTAGTGTACGGCGCTGCTGAGCCGAAGCCCATCACCATGTCGAAAGAATTCACCACCATTTGCATTTGCTCGCAATAATGGTTGTATCTTCTATCCACCTGTGTAAAATGAGTATGACATGTTAATTTGGACGTGCAGGTCGAATAATATAAGATAGTATAAAAGAATGAAAGAAACTAAAATCGTGATATGTTGTACAATGTTAAGAATGTGAACGTGATTGTAAACCAATGCTAAGAAATAAAAATGTTAAAATTTAGTTAATTATACTATAGTCGACAAACATCTAGTACGAAAAATTTGACGTTCGACTCTCGTCTGTGACACGTTTGACCCACTTAATAACTTAAAAAATAAATAAAAACATAATAATGTGAATCACAGGCAGCTGGAACACAGTGAAATGATTGTTGATGTGAAGTATAGATTATCCTTGTCTCTCTTGTCATGTTCTCTTTTCCGAATAAAGACAGTAGTTCAGCAGCAGGCAGTTGATATTTCAAGCAAACTGTTATAATAATGTTATCGGATGTAATAAACAATTATAAGCAGCTTTTTTTTCCCCAAAACATGTTAATATCCCATTTGGTATAGCTAAAAATTAAGAATTTTGATGAATCTTGATAAAATTTGATAAATCATGTGATTGAAATAACGATAACATTTGCTAATGCTATAAAATAAGTTATTATAATTAATTACTAACTTTGATTATATTTTATCAAGAAATTTAAATCCCACCAGATAGGGGACGTGACCAACTATAATCAGATGGAAACATTTTTCCAACAAGACATGAATCCCACAATGTTGGTCGTTAGTCTCTTAGGGCTCCACCAATTGAAAAAATAAAAAAGAAAAATGAAAAACTATCTACCCTTATAATCCTATAATTAAAAATTCTAGTATAAAATTTCTACTTAATGATATAATTAAGCAAGTCTAATCAGATTGGGCGGCGTGCTCTGTGATTTTCCATCATAAAATGATATTTGGTAACTTGTTGGAAATTTCTGTGATTTTGTGAACCATAGACTAAATAAACAACAATAATTGTTACTGATTATGCGGTTTACTTGGTTGGCGTAATTTGTGACTATTGCGTCAGCCCGAGGATTTACCCAGTATGCATCCGAAGGGTAACGAATGAGGGTTCCCCGTCGTGAAAAAAAATAATTGTCACTTGATTAAGAGAGAACAGGTACTGAATCACAGTCTAAAAATTTACTAGGAATAAATCTTCTCGACCTTCCTAAAAAATGAAAATTTACTAGAAACAAAGGTGTGACAGTCGCTTATGAACAAAAATTTCATCGAAGTTCATGTGACACATGATAATTTTCATAAATGGCGTACCTCATCAAGCATAGATATGAGTTTGACCTTCCTTCTTTGATGCTCATGCCTATCAGCAGCTGACAAAGGTTGTTGATCCTTTAAAGAAGATGAAGAATTTCCACCTCCGCTTGGATTAGTATTCTTGGAGAATTTATTTTTCTTGAACTGAGGCTTACCAACACTGCAAAACTCTTCAAGCAATTCTTGAGCTGCCTTAGCGTATACAGAATTTCTTAACAGATTCACTGCCGCAATGGGCGATCCCGACGCACCGTGTAACTGGTGGTTTTGACCAATTCCGCCGTGCGGTTGCAAAGAGCCGCCGCCAAAATTCTTGAAACTGTATTGAACAGAAGTTGAACCTCCTCCTGCTCCTTGCCCAAAGAACATCCCACCTTCTCCCACCCTCAAATGCTCACCTTTCGCGGCCTCCTGTAATGAAGAAGATAAGGATAAAGAAAGGCCTTGCCCTTCCGGTGCACCCGGCATTTGAATAGGGATGGTATCATATGCAGCAGCAAAAGCCTCTCCCGCCGTGGTGGTGACGCCCACAGGTTGGTGAAAGGCTTCGAAAGACGACAATGGGTGGTGAATTACGGCGGCTGAAGGCGGAGGAGGGGGATGATGAGAAGAAGAAGATGGTGAAGGGGACCTTTGCTGTGGATTCATGAGAAAAAGCTGCATGGCTGAAGCTGAGTCAACATTAGTACTTGAAATATGATGATCTTCATTGCCTACATTATGATTTCTTGAATCCCTCGAACCACTCACAATTGACCCTTGTCTATTCTGATACCATGAGACAGGCACCCTTTGCCTCGGATTCTGATAATTTTGTGATATCTGGTTCTCCAATAACTCGGTGGCGGATGAAAAATTGAACATCTCAGACAACATCCCCGCCGTTTCATAAACTGGAAGGCCGCTGGATTCTTCTTCTTGGAAGCCTAATAATGGTGGATCGAAACCTTGAACTCTCATAGCATGTTTGGTATGCAGAATTGGACGATTCTGAATAGGATTAAGACAAAAAATAAGTTCGAGATTGTCAATTTTATTATACGGTGCAGTCTAATACTCGATGTCAAACATACCGTCACGTTATCCGGTCGGATCAGCCTTTCTTTCTGCGATCTATCAAATCCATTCGGGAAACTGATAATACCTTGTCGATAATTTTGGGACATAGAATTCGAAAATCTTACCTTGTTCAAGAATCGAGTTGAACTCTGACCCTTAAAATGAGATTTAACATAAGGGAGTAGTCCTTTTGCTAAACCCATATTATTGTATTCTTCTTCATCTCTTCACCAACACGGTCTTCTTCTGCTCATCAATTTATCAACGGATCCATCAAGAAAATGCAAGAAATTGAAAACCCATCTTGGAATTTCAGGTTGTTCATTGAAAAAGAATAATATGCCTAGAAATTATACGAATATAGTAGTGAAACATTACACGAATGAAAAGTAAAAGCATCAAAGTGTAAGCCTTTTATTTCAGCTTTATTAATTCATGTATGGATCCCATACCTATTACAGTTGCAGATCACGAAATTGTGCAAAGCACACATACATCGTTTTTCTCTTCTTCAGTGGGATGTGCAAAGAGAAAACTGTTTAATTCTTCTATTTTTCTCTCTCTTTCTATATCTGTCTATTGATTTTGAGACTGTTGTTTCTATCTCTCTCTATATAGCTTTTTCACTCTCTCATTTTATTTCTCTTTGCAGAGAGAGAGAATTGTCCGTTCTTGCAATCGAAGATGAACAAAAACAAGCCTATTAGCCTATATAAACATACGAATCTCTCTCTCTCTCTCTCTCTCTCTCTCTCTCTCTCTCTCACACAAAGAGAACACACACCTAAAAGGGCGGAGAAATAAAAACTGATAAAACATATTATTAAAAAGTTGATAAATGTGAATATAATAAGTTCCAAAAAAAATAAAAAATTCATGCTATATTTTACATAATTTTTTAATATGCTCTTCAAATGAAAAGAGAGAGTTGATGACAAATTTGGTTACAAGACCTGAATTATTACATTAGTTCAGTCCGATTATACTCTAATGGTTTGATTTAGTTTTTCAAAATCCCGGACTCATATAAAAGTTACAATGACTAAAGTACCCCTATTTTTGCAATGCTATTACATTAGTGATTGAAACGGGCCAAGGATGGCATTGTCGTACCTATTCCAGGTGGGGGTTCCCACCTTCTTTATTTACGCCATGTTTAGGTTTTTTTATCATCAATTTTTAAGATTTTTAGAACAAATTAAGCCCCTGTTTGAGCCAACTTTTTGGGACATAAAAATGAAATTTTTTATCGTTACATCTCTCTTCAAGCCGCATTTGTTGACCTGCCATATCATGTGTCGGACCCAGATTCTATTCCAACGGTCAACTTTTTCATGAAAATGATTTGGAAAATATGGCACAAACATAATGTAAATAGGGACAAGCTTGCATGTATTATGTGGGATTTTTTTATAATAACCGATTAAGCAGGGAATCCTTGCCCTATTCAGAATATATCCTACGGAGATCAAGATCGAGACCGATAAGCCTATGTTACATGAATAATGAAAATGGTTTTAAAATGTACAATACCTAGGGCCCAAAGAAAAATTAAATGACTTTATAAAAAACTTTGAAGAATAGCATTATGGTCCATTATACACAACAAGTGGATATAGAATCCGTTAGATGGGAAGATGTGTAATCAAGACAAACTAAAGTTTGGAATATATGTACAAGAAATGAATGTTGAAGACAAAAGTGTACGCAAAGATGCCTATAATTTTCTTCTTCTTCTTTTTTTTTTTTTTTTTCATCCTGGATTAAAAAAAAAAATATGCAATTGTTGGAGCTCGGGCAATGAGGGGAGGATGCTTTCAAAGGTGAAAGGCCAAAAAGAGATACTGTTTGTGAATCATGGATATATGTTCCAGACACTGTATCCAAGCTTCGTTGCTAGTCCACTTGCATGTTAGACAAATCATCCCAAAAAAAATAAAAATAAAATAAAATACACTTCCATCAATCATACTAGTACAAGTTGATAATTTAAGTGCATGGCTTATTATTGGGATTTTATTCCCAGAAATATGAAAGATTAACACAAACACAAAACAGTAAAAATAAAAGAAACCGGAAATTGTTCACCCAGTTTAGCAATAGCCTAATATGGAGGATCGGAGATCAACCCAACACTATGTGCAACCAAAACCTTCCAAGAGGGAGTACAAATCATGTCAAACCAAATGGGACTCAAATTTAGTCATAGATATAATGGTGGATCTCTTGAATCGTAAATCCCGATCAAGAATCACTCAAGAACCCTAAACACTCTACAAACGAACAAATCAGCTAATATCTCAAGTCTAAATTACTGTAGAAGTAAGAATCACATAGGATTAAACATATTTATGGCTAGAATCTAGTAAGAGATCACTAATTAGAATGAAGAAGAAGACTGGACTCGAAAAGGAAAAGCAACACTCGAAATGAAATCCAAAAGAATGAGTTGTAGAGAATGAACTGTCTAAGCCAAGAGGTCATAGTGACTAAGACTCAATCTCAACCGCGAATTGGATCCAATGGCTGACAATCTACCTTAACAAGCACAATCCAGGTTAATTGTTAAGTGCCAATCACGCCTTCCCTACAAGATGGCACTTAAAAATTGCAATTTTGGAAAAACATGTTTTTACAATCTTTGCTTTGGTTCTCTCTCTCTCTCTCTCTCTCTCTCTAATCACGCCTTCCGTACAAGATGGCACTTAAAAATTGCAATTTTGGAAAAACATGTTTTTACAATCTTTGCTTTGGTTCTCTCTCTCTCTCTCTCTCTCTCTCTCTCTCTCTCTCTCTCTCTGTGGTTGCTTAGGTACACTTTAGTGGCTAATCATATATCATTGCCCATGTACCTACAAAAGAATTTAAACTTATCTATAGACAAAACTTTTTGTCCCTATTTCTGAGGGATTTTTATCATTATGAATTTTCAGCAACTTAACTTCACTTGTAGAAATTCTTTCTCTAACAAAATAATACTTAACCTCAATGTGTTTTGATCTTTAATGACGGACAGGATTTACCAAGATTGGACATAAATTTACTTAGAAAGCTAATAGCATAGGCGAGGTCTAGTCTAGCAGTGATCATGGAAAACATAATAGATCATATGGCATAAGCATAAGGAATGTTTTCCATCTCTTTCATTTC